AGACCTGCCCAGGTCCGGCCTCTGGAGACTGGCACAGGCCTCCAGGGGACTGGCTCTGAGGTAGAGACCTGCTCAGGTCAGGCCTTTCAGGATGGGACACAGGCCTCCGGGGGATGGGCTGTGAGGCAGAGACCTGCTGAGATCCGGCCTTTCGGGATTGGCACAGGCCTCCAGTGTACTGGCTCTGAGGCAGAGACCTGGACAGGTCTGGCCTTTCGGGATGGGGCACAGGCCTCTGGGGGACGGGCTGTGAGGCATAGACCTGCTCAGGTTCAGCACAGGCCTCCAGGGGATTGGCTCTGAGGCAGAGACCTGCTCAGGTCCAGCCTTTCAGGATGGGACACAGGCCTCCGGGGGACAGGTTGTGAGGCAGATACCTGCCTAGGTCCAGCCTTTCTGGATTGGCACAGGCCTCCGGGGGATGGGCTGTGAGGCAGAGACCGAGGGGGAGGGGACTGTTTTTCATGCACTTCACAAAGTAAACACGCTCCTGAGCTGGGCCTTGCAGTTCTCAGCAGGATTATGGTGATGGAAATGGGCTAAAGGAACAAGCCTGTGTCAGCATACTGCGACATTGCAAGCTTTTTGCTAATTTATCCTGGTATCGGCTACAAATATTGTGTGGCACACATAATACGAACTTGCTCCACTGCCAATAAAAATCAAAACATGTTTTTGCATAAGATTTCCCATACTTGAAAGCTAAAATGTATCTAATGAGTCCGGTGGTGTGGAACACTGACCTTCAGCTATTGTGAACAAATTAATTTATTCCAACAGACTACTGATCATGGTAGAAAAAGAGAAACGTGCCTATGTGAAAAACTATTTCTTTTTGAAAGAATTACATTGAAATACATTTCATTTTATAATGTTTTGAAGATTTCAGGAAATGCATTAGGGTTCATCTGGCTCTTTATATGGCGATTCCCTGACAGGAAAGCCGTCAGCCTGATCGCAGTTGTGTTTGTTGTTGCGTGCATTAATTAAAAGCCACAGTGCACCGGTGTGGCTGCTCTTGCCTCATAATTGCTTAAGCCGCAGGTGCTGTATTCACACGGCGGATCTAAGTGGCTACTGAACAATGGTGCAAATCACTAGTTTCTGAGTCACATGACCTTATTTCCCAGAGACCTTCAACTCAACAATTGTGAAGCCAACGGTCACAATTTTCGTTAATTATGCCTACAGTTGAGGTCACGCTAAAATAAAATACAAATATAATGTAATATAATTGCTAAGAAACATTAATCGTGCTTAAATAGAAGCATTTCAGTTTACAGAGATAATCATATATCGTTTACTCTGTTGTCTGTGTGTGGGTGTGTGTGCGGGTCTGTGTGGGTGTGGAGAGCTTGTATGTTGTATGGTTTGCTTTTCTTCTCCAATCCAGAACCATGCAGCTGGGTAAATTTGTATCTCTACATTGCCTGTATTGTGTATGCCTTGCATTGGACTGGCATCCCATCCAGGGTGTCCCCTGCCCCGTGTCCTGTGATGGACTGGCATCCCATCCAGGGTGTCCCCTGCCCCGTGTCCTGTGATGGACTAGCATCCCATCCAGGGTGTCCCCTGCCCCGTGTCCTGTGTTGCCTGGGATAGGCTCCAGGCCCCAGTGATTCTAACCAGGATTAGCTTATAAGATGTTAGCGAAAGGGTGCTCAGAAACAGGAGGGGGATCCGCGTAAACGTTAAGCCTGGATGATCGAAGACCCCGGGACCTGATGGTCTTGCTTCTCCGACTAACCACCGTCTTGATGAGGAGCCCAGCGCTGATCCGTGGACCCCTTCGTTTCTTTAAAATCCATTTTCACGTTTCATCGTACAACCATCCAATTAAACAGCAGCCTCTCTGGACTGCTCCATGTGAAGGATCCACTATCTAGTGCATTTATTTTCAGGCCACATTTTTATGTTATTCGGAATTAAATATCTGTGACAGTTAGTGTCACTCAGTGATCCGTGTTATGATTGGATGCATGCATTCAGGACCATGTGACTCGTGTCACGGATTTCCGGCATGTCTGTTTATATATTTGCCTTCGAAATCTGACTGTAATAAGTATCTGCAATAGCTTGGCAACACGTTTCAAAACAGACAAAACCTGAATACTAAGTCATGTCAGTAAAACTGAAATGTTAAGGGCATAGGAGCGAGTTTGATATTGGAGGGCACAACTCAATAATTAAATTGTAAAGGTCTTTTTGGGAGGAGGGGGGCAAATTAAGCCAAATTAAATATTCCAGGGATACAGGCCTCCCCGCCCCCCCAGATTCCTATGACCCTGACTGCATATGAAAGTTTTGAAGCTGATAAGTCTGTTAAGTATTCCATATTTAATCTCCAAGGTTTTATTTTCTACCATCAATTCTTTTTTTTTTTCTAATTTCCCCATCAGTCTGATCTCAGATCAGCCGGAAACAATGATCAAATGTTCGTGGCCTTGATTCTGAGACCTGCAGACCGGCACGAGCTAATTAAGGAGTGCATTGGGTAGCAAGCGAGTCAAACAGGTAGGGCGTGAATACATCTTGTTTGGCAGCTCTGACTCCTGGAGAAAAAAAAAACAGCACATTCTGTGGAACAAAGCTAAGTCTAGAACTATGTACACAGCAAACACTTGGAAATATAGGGAGGAGATCTTTGCTCAAATCAATAAGCGTTTGTACTGTAGAACGGCTGTTATTGTTTCACCCTATCTGTAGTATCTACACATATCGTTAGCATTGTTCTGCTAAGTTCCAATGACCTTACAGTAGGAGTGAAAAACCCCCAGAATGCCAGCAATACTGGCATTTCAGCAGGATGGGGGGGTTGTGGCTGGGTGGCATGCGGTGGGTTTGAGCGGCTGGCACAGGGCCGGCTCTGCCCGATGTAAACGTCTGCTGTCTGAGCCCAAGACCAGGTCCTTTGGGATCTTATGTAATGTAAACATGAAGCCTTTCTACAGGCATGTTCAGTTATTTCTGGCTAAAGGAAACATAACCAAAAAATCACACCCCTTCGGGGAAAAACCACCCGCAGCATGTCTTCCGCTATAATCGGCAGACTGACTCAGAGAGGTGCGGAGCCCAGCAGCCCAGAGGAGTGAGGGGGGCATTTTCCTGCAGCTCCACTGTCTGTGCTCTCTGCACTGCAGCAAATGGGCAATGAGGGCTAATGGTCCTCTGACATAAATACTGCTGTGCTCCTGGCACTTTTACAAGTATTTTCATTTAAACTGAAAAATATGCTTGGCACCAGTTACACAAACACCGTGTTAAAGTGGGGGGGGGGAAAAAAAAGATTTCACATGACAAGACAAGTCAGGGAAAAAAATACTCTGAGGGCTGTTTCCATCACGGAAAGTCAAAAACAATGTCTTTAAGATTGAGGAAAACAGACTGGAATAATATTGCTGTTTTATTGGTTGATCAGTCTTTGACTCAGCATATGTAATTTAGGTTATGTATCTAAATATATCTCTGAAAACAATACTGTATATTTATCTCAAAATACACTATATATAATTTAAGCACAGACATACATAAGTTCATACATAAAACTGTTTACATCTTAAAATAACCTTTGAAAATGTCAATATACCTGTATTAAATTAAATATAACATTTAAGCAATATTAAAATAGTTTAAAATCAGGCTCTCGTTGTAATTGATGCTTACTGCTACCGTACAGTTAACCTTCCCAGTCTTTCATGTGGATCCTGACTAAAGCTGACATCAACATGCTGGAGTCTCGTTCATAATTCCGTTCCTTTTCACCCGCCACTGAACGCACCCCTGCACAGACATGTTCAAATGTCAAAGCGTAGGGCTGTAATATCTGAAACCCAATGTCAGCATATATGTGGGGCTGTAATCAAATGGACTTTGATCTTACTTGAAACAACGATTAACAAGACCCTTCCTGCAAGCTCTCAATAAAACTCAAACGATTAAAAAAATGTGTGTTTATACATGTCTGCTGTTTTATGTGGGTTTTTATGCACTGGCTGGCCTACATTCAGCTATGGCAGGTGATCGATTCCCTTAGTGTCCAAAGCAGGGCGCTTCCTCAGCACCTGGAGCCTGGTATCAGTTTGCTGTGCGGCTTCCAGGCTTCACAGATCATTCTGAGCCGGATACAGAGAACTGAACACTCTCTGCAGGGTTTGCATCGTGATACTGGGAAGACCCATTTTACTGGTGTGGCTGTGAATCTTTTAGCTGGAGACAGGCCTGTATCTAGCAGGCCCGCCTTCCCGGCCGTGCATAGTGACGCCGTTCAGGGCTCGCTCTAAACAAACACACCGCACACTCGCACTCTCCAGTAACGGTCTATAAGGAACACAAACAAATATTATTATGACAACTGTGACCCCCAGCCTCCAATAAAAGACAGGCACAGTGCTCCCCCCGCCAGGAATCTACGGCATTCCCGCTTAACACAACACTATAATAATTTAATAACACAATCATAATTTGATCATGTTTTATGTAATGCCCTTAAATGGAAACTGCAGCGTTAGTTTTACAGTAATATGCATAATGTAATATACATTGTGTACTTGAAAAATCTGTGTGCAAAAATTGTATTTATTTTTCTTGCCAGTGGCTTTGAGGACCACAGAGAGAACTCTGTGGTTTAATATTGGACTAACATCTCAAGACAAAAACAAAGAAATAAAAAATATGAAATATAATAATTGTTAATTAAATTAATGTTAACTTCATAAGAAGAGCCAGTGTTCCCAAACAGCAAGCAGCACCCCTCATTAAAACCCGGGTGGGGCGTGGGGGGGGCTCCTTTAATAAAATGTAACAGCCTCAGGTCCATGTTTTCACCGTGCATGCCGGAGTAGAATCGCCATGGTAACAGGGAGGGGTGACACAGGGCGTGCTTGTTGCTCACAAGACCACCTGCTGCAGCCCCGGGGGTTCGTGGGTACATGTGCGCTCTCCACACTGCAGTTTCCGGAGGAGCCTCTGAAGCTTGAGTGAAAAGGTCCTGCTCATCTGCCTGTAAAGTAACGGTGTGGCAAAGCTGCTGGAGAAAGCCAGCAGCACAGACAGACCTCTGAGGAAGTTGAAAGCTACCACTGGCCTGGTGACATAGGTCCCCTGCACCCTGGAGATAGTGTGGACCAGCAAGATTATGTAGTAGGGCGTCCACAGGATAAACTGCATCGACACGGCAGCGAGGAGCAACCGGTATACAGAGGGATCCAGCCTCCCCAGATCCTGGTCCAGATGTGTGGGCTGTTTACGGATGCGAAGGATGAGGACTAGAGCATAGGAGGTGGCGGCGGCCGGAACGACGTAACCGATCAGCAGCATTATGGTGTCGGCCACCTCCTTGTTCTGCATTTTCGAGCACTCGACGATCTTAGTGGAGACGTGGTTGCAGACGTAAAAAAGCAGGGAGGAGAAGCTGGTGAGGACAGCGCCGCCCCAGAGGAAGCCACACACGTGCTTGGTGTTGTAGACGCTGGACATGTAGGTGCGCGGCAGGACGCGCTCGATGTAACAGTCCAGGCTGAGCAGAGTGGCGGAGTACATGATCACCAGAGACGAGACGTTGAAGAGGATGATCAGCGTGACGTGAACCTCGTCGCTGTAGCGCCACAGGGGCGAGCGGGAGAACTCGGGTCCCAGGAGCTGCATGGGCCCCACCAAACCCAGGACCAGGCTGGCCATGGCCATGTTGACGAAGTAGACGTCGGGCATGGTCATCGAGGCCTTGTTGGAGAGGTTCACGGCCACCACCAGCGCGTTGTAGCAGAATCCCACAGGGAAGAAAACGAAAAGGTAGGTGAAGGAAAAGACAGACAAGGAGAGGCCCAGCCGCTGGCAGAGCTGTGTGTCCGCTGCGCCGTCTGTGCCGTTGGCAAACGCGCAGCTCCACATAGCGGCCGCCCCTCAGGCTGCGGGTCCAGGCGCCTGATCCAGCTGCAAAAGGAGAAGAACGTCACACATGTGGTTTGCAATGATCACCACAGCATACCGTCTGGACTGTAAGCACGCTGCAGGCTGGTGTGGGCCTGCAGGACAAACTCATTCATGCATATATAAACAGACGGTAAAGGCTGGTTCAGACTTCTCCGCATGCGTACTAGCGGACGAGTCCGCTCGAGCATTTATGACGTGTTTGACGTCATCCTGCACTCCAAACGCCTGCTGCACTCCAAATTTGTGTCCGCACAGCGGTGCATGCACAGCTCTGGACACACTCTGCATGATCAGTTTGCTAGCTTCCACTTCAAATGCCAACATGGATGCCAACGGCGAGCATTTGGGGTAGTTTGCAGACCCTGCAATCATGTATGTAATAAATCAGTCGGCCCCTGGCAGACGGGAAGATGGCCGCTGGTAGATGGGAAGATGGCCCCCGGCAGAGAGTGAGACAGCCCCCAGCAGACAGGAAGGCAGACCTCAGCAGATGGGAAGAAGGCCCCCGGCAGACGGGAAGATGGCTGCTGGTAGATGGGAAGACGGCCCCCGGCAGACGGGAAGATGGCCACTGGTAGATGGGAAGACGGCCCCCGGCAGACGGGAAGATGGCCGCTGGTAGGTGGGAAGACGGCCCCCGGCAGACGGGAAGATGGCAGCTGGTAGATAGGAAGACGGCCCCCGGCAGACGAGAAGATGGCCCCCGGCAGACGGGAAGATGACCCCCGGCAGACGGGAAAGTGGCCCACGACCGTATTTAATGGTGGGACTTTACTAATTATAAATAGACCTAAATAGATTAATGTTATAATGAACAGACCTGCACAGCATTCACCATGGATCCAGTTTGACAGACTCTACCAAAACACATTTTTGGGGGAGCCAAGGCAAGGAGGAGAGCTGATTTTAAAAGCGATTCAATGAATAGGGACCTATTTTAAGATAACCTGCTGATGGCTGAATTACGTCAAAAGATACCATGATAGAAAGGAATGATTCTATTTGTATGCTTTGGGACAGATATATGCATCTTTAAAATTATTAATAACAGCAATAAATATTTGTAATGTTTTTCAATCACATATCGGCTTACCGTTCTTTTTCCATATTTGAAAAACAGAATGATGTCCAGTACTGCCTATCAATCACTGCAGAAGACTATCTGAGCTACTCAGCTGAGGATGCAAGAAACTACATTACCTAGCACTCAGGCACAGACTAAGGTACCAATGCAAGGCACTCATAAATCATTCAATAAAGAGACTACATAAAGGGCATCGAAACCAGCAACAAGTTCCAAAATCTCATTATTGGTGGAGTTTTCAAAGTAAAGTTCCTAAGCATTTAATGCCTTAAGATACAGATATTTCATATGCAGGTTTAACACAGGAAAATGACAAAAGAGCATAATGCACCTGACTGACTGCAGGGGAACCCGCCTGACTGTCTGCAGGGGAATGTACTTACTGTTACTGAAAATGGATAGATGGATCATTAGCTCTGATGTTATTATCTTTGAACATTATCTACAGCAGGGGCGCCCAACTCCAGTCCTGGGGGGCCGGAGCCCTGCACATTTTTGGGTTTCCCCTCATTTAACACACCTGATTCAACTCCTTGTCCTAATTACCACACAGCTCTTGAGCTGAATCATTTATGGTGAAACAGGGAAAGAACTAAGCTACACAGGGCTCCGGCCCCCAGGACTGGAGTTGGGCACCCCTGATCTAAAGTTTAAGATCAGGCAAGACTAATACATAAGACTGACACCTATATCATGATTTTTAATGAATACTGGATACTACCAATATGTTTTCTAATATATTGTGCATCTTTAGTGATGTATATGCAAAACATACATATGAAAGCCACACATGAAATTCTCACAAAAGTAAGGACATTTATAGTTGATATCTTTTTGTAATAATCTGGGATTTGAGTGTCTAAACCCGACTCAAGCATAATAACTAATATTTGTTCGAGATCAAATACATGGCTGAAATGAAAGCTAACTTTACAACGCCTGAAGAAAGTTATTCGCTAAGTTCATTTCAGCACAATGCAATTTACACTTCAATTACAGAGGTCTTGCTGTTGCATAGACCCATGAAACAAAATGTGGAAAATCTAGCTACAGTATAACAGAAGTCTCTGAAAGTACCCTTACATACCTGGCTTTCACGCACAATGACGTAATGCACCCAGTCCCCATAAGATCATTCAGCTGAGAACAGCCTTTCCAGGTGACCAGTTTTCTCAGTGCATTTGTGAAAGGCTGATATTGTGAAAGGTGAAAGGCTCTGTGCATGGTGAGGCCTAGTCACTCCTTTGGTTTAGCACCACAGCCTCCCAACCTGGTCCCGGGTCTCTTATCTCTTGCTGTGCACGACCGTGACCCGAGCAGAAACCATGAGGCCCATTCGTGCTACGAGCAGGAGGACACCCCCGCCTGCAAAGGCTACAGCAATCTTCTGCTCATCAATCATGTCACTTGTTCAGTAGACTGTACTGCAGCTTTTCATTCTAATGAGACTGTGACAAAACAGACATTCCACATTCCTGGAAATGGTTATTATATTTAAAAATACAAAACACCGATATGTTGTAGTCATTGGTAGATTGCACTATAACCCACACTTTACAGTCGACGTTCCACGTACTGTATAGTTGAGCGAAAACAACGTACAGGCCAATGTACAGGAGAAAAATGATGGATTTCATTTCATACTACAAAGGTAGTAGATATATGATACCATATCATGGCAGCAAGACTTCCTTGCATTACAGAACCATTGTCATTTTGCTGGGTGTTCAAAGTTCAGTAGTGCTGCTTGCTTACTTCTTAACCTTTTGAAATATATCTGAAACAATCCAACTTTGTAAGCATGGTATTCCACCCATTCAATGAGCAACAGCAGATTAATGGCTAAAAAAAAATCTGAGAGAAGAGGTGTGTCCGTGGTGATACAGGAGTGGCGCTCTGCAAATTCAGTGAACATGAATCTTTTTCTGACATTAGCCTTGCATGTCAGAAGTTCAGGTATCAGAGCATACCTAGATACAGTATGGCGGATTTACAGAATAAGGCAGATTTCAGGAAAGAGTACCTGCCTTAAAATAAATATTACTTGACAACAAACAGGCATTTAAAGTGAGCAATGTTTTAAAAGAATTACTTACATTATACACATATTTAATGTGTATAAACTAACATTTATTATATTACAAAGAATTTAAGTGTATATACATCCTCTTTATTTGCAAACAGCTGAAGGAAAACTACTATTCTGATTGTACAGTATTTCATTTGAAGCAACCACTCAATGTTCAATGCAGAAACAGTGATACAAAGAGTGTAAATCAGAGTACTGCTATTTAAAACAGTCAGGTCTGCAGTGCTTTGTTTGCATACCTCATTTTACAAACTTTCCTGCTATTTTAAATACCCATACACACCCGTCATTATGCCGTTACACCCAGTAAATCAAATTAAACATCACCACATTGCCGATATTCGTTAATGTGTCATGTTGAAACAATGATCGAGAAGATGCATACACACATTGTAATTCAACTCAAATAACACGTCTGTATTATTAGCATTTTCATTACATGTTATTTGTCTTTAAACAGGTTATGGAGAAGGGTGTTTCATCTTACACGAAGTAGTCTGCTGCACGCCGTTTTAAAACTAAAGTTAAACCTTTATTTTCATAACATTCAATTAAACAGTGATCATTCTTTTGTTATTGTTCATTTTTAAGGTTTCAAATCCATCACTAACACTATCGGGTTACACTGTTTGGATATACGCCCGGCTCTAATTGCCAATAAATATGAAGAAAACTGATTATAGTAAAACATCTTGACCCTGAATATATATTTAAGGACAGTCAGTTGAGAGATGGCCATGGACAAGCTCTGATAATGTGATATGATAAAGTACGCTTACTTTACGCTAAACACACACTGTAGCTCCATGTAAGGTTCCACAAATTTGTACTCCTTCACCAAAACATATAAATTACCCTCCTTTGTGTCGCGAAAAAGTGCCATTGGACAGCCAGTTGTCTACATGCCTGTCACTGCAGTGGAGGTCACGGCTTCCTTTGGCTCCCAGAAGATAAGAACCATGCTGACGAAATTATCACGTTACTATGTTTTTTCGCGATCAACCTGCCCTCTTGAAATAGCTTCACAGAGGACACGATAAACCTGAACATCGCACATGGCCAAATAGGATTCTGCTGTTGTACCTTTGTGTGGGCATCTATCCTTAATTTTGAACCTTTAAGGAAGAACATGTTGCTGAAATAGCCTTTATGTTGTAGCTTGCTTTCTCAAAGGATAAAAGTTTATACATAATAGTGCATCATGCATTTAAAAGCAGTTCAGTCATTCCAATAAAATAAAACAAGCTAAAAAAAAAAATTCACGAAAAGGGGAAGTAGATAATTTGTTCTAACAAACAATGACGGTAGTACACTGTCAAGATCATTCATAACATTAGGTTCATCAAAAGGTCATTGTGGAGAAGTAATATTGTTATTTATGTAACTGATATACAGTGAAATAATATTTCATAAGAAACGACTACAAACTCATTGCAAAACAATGTACGTTTCGTTTTTTCCTAGAATAACAACCTAACATATTATGCGGAATTGCTTTGGGGCTTTTTTAAAGCTTGTTGATTCTATGCTTTAGTGTCATTCTATTTAAAACGTTTTCTTATATCTTGTTGGTATGTCGAGGTGTTTTTGAATTATGTTACCTACTGTGAAAAATAACAAAAACTGCCAAATATATGTATCTGAGACCCAGACGTCCCTGGTTCATTATACACGGTTAACAAATACACGATCTTCAAAAACGTAAATCATTTAAAATTTAAGGCTGTAGACAGATTAACCAGGATATTTAAAACGATCTTTTCCAGGATTAAAGCCCATATTGGCAAATGCAACCTGTTAAGCTACGCAATCCATCAGGTGAACTTTACGATGTTTAGACATAGATACGAGATCACATTTATAAGTGTCTCAGTATGTTTCAGCATGTGGGGTAGCGCATTCAGAAGTAGCGTGCATAACGAATGTGACAGCTTACTATGTCTCCAGCACACACATGCACAAAGAAACCCAGCCTGAAGATCCTTAGACCGGTTCAGTTCAAGGCGCAGAACCTGTCAGTGTGAAGCGGTGTGTTAAAGCGCTGGCAAACTCACCTGAAAATAACGAGACTCCCAGAGATGCTTAGAAGCATTAAGGATCCTCGGACGTTATTGACTGCATCTCCATTACTCTCAATGTCTACAATGTGGGCCAAACGGCAGAGATCCCTCCCTATTGACTGTACCGATGAGAAATGGTGATCCGCCTGCCGTCCCATAACAGAAGTTTCGCTTCTCGCCCAGGCGGAGCGGCGCTGGCTGAGCACATGCCGCCCTCCCCCCACCGCCTCTCAGGCAGCCGCATTGGCTGGCTGCCTGGGCTCCCTCGCACAGCATGGGGCGGCGGTGGATGATAGGGACTTTCTGCAGCCAGACAAATAAACAAACAAACACAAATTATATAATCAATTCTCACTTACATAAGTGCTTAGAATCAATGCTCACACGATTGATGCGTTTTGAGTAACCGAGAGAATAAGTACATTAAGTTTTGCTTTTCACAATTTCAGTGGTTTTCTACATGTGGGGAAGTATTAGGTTTTGTATATTAGATTTGCATTTGGCATTAAAAACACGATTCCTCATTAAATCTTGAGAGAAACGTTATCTTCTCTTATCAGACAAGAGTTAACCAGTTGACTAGTAGTGGGTGGATTGTGCTTGGTTGTAATTGTTCTGTGAAAAGGATTGGTATTTTATACCACACTAAAAACAAGGTTTAATTATAAGAAGTGCATTTTGTTTATAATTTTGCACATTATAAACGTACTCATCTCAAGTTTTTGGCGGTCTATATTAAGCATGTCAACTAGAACATCTCAATTTAGATGATTTCTTGGTTATAAAAGAAGTCTAGTGTTTATATAGAATAAAATTAAGGTTATACACCACAAACATTAATAATATAAACTTATCTGTCTTAATAAGCTAGCTGATTTTGGATACTATATGCAGCACTAGGGATGGTGTCTGTGGGAAAGGTGCAGGTCAGGTGCCGCGCCGTAATGTCCATCCTCAGAAAACCTAGAGCCGATGAACAGGATGAGCCCAGGCGGATCAGACCTTTGCGATGGACACTGGTGTTCGAAGCGTGTAACATTGTCTCACTGCTGGCAGTAATGTACGAGACAAAAAGGCATTTTTAGCTCCGCAGTAAAAGGGTACGTCCAGGTGGATGTGGGGTCTGGACCCAATCTGCTCGATTGTGGTGGAGTCTGTCCTGCTCTGGTTTGTTCCCCATAGGGTGAAGTCTCAGGTAGGTGTGGGAATAGGCACCAGCCTCTGGGTAACAGCAGCTGTACAACTGTGGTGTGTGTCTGTGTCTGTGTCTGTGTGTCTGTATGCACCTAACAGTAGGCTGTAGTAGCTGTTGAGTTCCTCATGAGGGTCCTCTGTGGCTCTTCTGGCTGGCTTCAGGTACACATGGGGAATGATGGTATGGAGAGGTTTGATAGGGAAGAATGACCTCACAATAAGGAATATGTGGGCAGTGGTGGCTTAATGGTCAGGGAAGCGGGCTTCTAATTGAAAGATTGCTGGTTCGAGTCCCTGACCAGCAAGGCACCACTGAGGTACCCTGAGCAAGGTACCGCCCCCCCAGGCCCTGCTCCCCGGGCGCTGAATTAGCTGCCCCCTGCTATGTCACATATGGCTTAAATGCAGAGGACACATTCGTTGTTGTGTGCTGTGACGTGTCAACACTGATCACTAAATTCTAAATTGTTATTCAACCATTACTGTCTGCTGGGGGCCACCTTGATGTGCATGAATGGTTGAAAGATTACTGGAGGGATGCACCTCACTGGGATGACACAGCTGTGACCTGACTTAAGTTATTGTATGAATATGTACTTTGTGGACTTGGAAGTGTGTCACCATATAGTGTTATTAGCTGGTATCTAGCTAGTGTGCTGGTCACCCGATCATCTTGGGCTGAAATATGCAAACCACTTCCTGTTTCTTGTTTTCTGCACACCTTCTCCTAGATCTTCAGGAGGGCTGTCTCCTTGTCTCAGGGTTGAAGACCAGCATCTGTGACTGGGCTGACTGGTTTAGGGTTAGGGTTAGGGTTAGGGTATGCTCCGTCTTGTGGAACTGGAACTTTTGTTGTGAAAGCATGAACATGTTTTAACTGAGTGCTCCCTTGTTGTGACGTAAATAGAGGCTATTGAATGTTCTGCATAGAATGATTATCAAACTACTACATATATTTTATGGCATTTGGCAGACACTCATAGTCACAGAGACTTACATAAGTGCTTAGAAGTCTTATCTGTGAGCACATTCTGATATTGGTTCAATAGAACTCTGGTACGAATACTATCACTCTAAAAGTAATACAGTACAATAATAAAAAAACAGAGTATAATCCTGGAAGTGCTATTCAAAGTACTTCTGAAAGAGGAAGGTTTTCAGTTGTTGTTTGAAGGCACCCAGTGACTCAGCTGCTCGGACATCTGCTGTTCATTCCACTGCATTAGTGCCAAAACACAGAAGAGTCTAGACCAGGGGTGGCCAATCTTATCCGCAAAAGGCCGGAGTATATGCGGGTTTTCGCTGCAGCTCCCTAAGTAGATTACTAATTAGAGGACTGATTGGCTGAGGAGTCCTCACACCTGGGTTTGAACAGCTGACCTACAGGTTATCCCAAAAACCTGCATACACACCGGCCCTTTGCGGGTAAGATTGGCCACCCCTGGTCTAGATGCATGTCTCCCTTGGTCCCATATAGAAAACACTGGAAAAAGCCACTGAGGTTTTAGTTACCTGATTTAGTAACCAATCTTCATTTTGCCGATATTTACTATTAAGTGTTAATCCCACACACTGCAGTGAGTTCTTTCAGCTCAGGAGAGGGAATGGCCGTACCTGTTATATATGTACCTGGTAAAAACATGAATATCGTTCATCCTTTTTTCACTTGCAATGCTTGTTATAACGGGTTGCTTTCTTTTCGAGCTGGTTAATGTCATTCCCGGAAATGCTAGGAAATGCTGTGCTTTTTAAATTCATAACTGCATTGGATCGCTAAACTGGAATTGTGCGGATACACAGCCGGTCTTGGAGCCGCTGTCTGTGTTTCAGGGTAACTGGGGCATTTCCGATGGGGGTAGTTCGGGGTCAGCCTCCTCGCAGTCTGATAGTATGAATGAGAAAAGCCCCCCCCCTCGTAGTTTCCTGTAAATCTGGCTGAGAAATAGAAGAGAAGGACAACGTTGGACTGATTGGAAAATATAATATAAAAAATATAAAATAAAAAATATAAGAAACAAACAAATAGCCAGAAACATGCCAATGGAAGAAATAAATAATTTCCACCCTAGAACCTAGAACCTAGATTTTTTATTTTTACAGAACTTCCAAGTTATCCATGTGGGAGAGCACATTGATTTCCCAGTGATATCATCCAGTCGGATTCCAAGTACTTATCTAGTAGAGGGTCACTGGGGTGAACCGGAGCCTGCCCCAGAGAGGACGGGACAGGGGCAACTCTAGGACGTTTTAAATAGGGCGGCATGGGGGGGACCAAGCATGAGTCGGGGGGGGGGGGGGGGGGGGGGGCATGGGAAATCAATTCAATTGAAATGCCCATTTCTCTCCTGGGGGGAAATATCAGCAGATACTGGAGCTGCCATCTTCTGGCGATATGCTTAAGGCAGGGTTGGGCAATCTTATCCGCAAAGGGCCGCTGTGTAGATTACTAATTAGAGGACTGATTGGCTGAGGAGTCCTCACACCTGGGTTTGAACAGNTGACCTACAGGTTATCCCAAAAACCTGCATACACACCGGCCCTTTGCGGATAAGATTGCCCACCCCTGGCTTAAGGCATCAGGACAAACACTTTAGCGGGAAGTGGGCTCTGTGTGTGGTCTCTGAAGCTGGATCAGACCTGTGCTGGCTTGTGTTCAAGCTTTGTGTGCTGTGGAATGTGCTGCCTGTGCTCCAGATGCAGAAAGCAGACTGTGGCACGGTGGCATCGCCATGTCTGGCCGTCTGTTTACTTATCATAAAAGATAATGAACTGCCACACACTCCACGTGCTCTTGTCATGTGCCTTGGGACAACCGCGCGCACACACACGCACACACACACACGCACATGTAGGGTAAACATATCCTTATGGGGACCGCTCATTCATTTCAATGG